TTCCCCCCGCCCCCCCCCCCCCCGTCCCGCTGCGCAGCCACGGCCCGATCTTATCAGCCTCCAGGCCTATTAATCAACCGAGCTTGTCCGGCGAAGGATCCAGGGCGAACCCGGGGGGGGGGCGGGGGACTCCACCGCAGACACTCCGCCTGCGCTTTCGCTCAGAGAAGAGCCAAGCGAAACTGACCGCAGCTTTATTCCCTCCGTCTCCGAGATGGGCGGCGGGGGCGGCGGGCGGGGGAGACGATCAATCTGACAACCCCAAAGATGCCTAAATGGGACTGAACAGGGTTTGGCGTTCGAAAGAAGAGTCAAAGCGGACCTCTTGACCCGGGGACCTCTGGCCCCCGCCCCCCGCCCCCGCGACTGTGTGTGTGCCAGAAATTGGGCTCCTGATAGTCCCGGCGACCTCCTGCTGACTCGGAGAGAGTCGGCGGCGCAAAGAAGGGTGATTGTAGGCCTGGGCCGACCCTCCCTTCTTTCTTCCCCGACCTCCCTTGCAGTTTACTGCTCGCTGCTTTTTGCTGCGAGAAAGGGAGCTCCGTGCCTGCAACAGCCCCGCACGTGGCTTTCATTGAAAAGGGACACAGAGAGCCAGGACCCCCCCCCCCTGCGCTCCTCTCGGAGACCTGCGCGTCATCCCTGGCAGCGGAGGCCGAGGATCCCAAAACAACTTTTGGGGCTGGGATTAGGCGAAGAAGAAGGCAGCCCAGAGCAACCGGGGCCGAGTCGCCTCTGAGCTTTGAAAGAAAACGCCCCTCGATACGCCACGAGCAGGCAGCCAGCTCCGGTCGGAGGCGACTTTCCTGCAGTTTCCTTTCCCAGGATCCAACTGCGGAACGGAGGAACAGCCCGGTGGCCGCCGAAAGAACCATCCCTTCTTACAACCTCCCTGAGCAGGAGCTGTCTCGGTAGATGGCTGGGAGTGAATTGAGGGTCTGCGAGGGGGGGGGGGCTGGGGACTGGCAGGGGCTGGGGGCTGGGCTCTTTTCTGTGCAGAGGAGGAGGAGAAGTCTAACCCGAGCAACGTTTCCTGGGAGGTGAATAAAACAGGACGTCCTTCCGAGTAGACCTCTAAGGCTTGTTGCTTAGCGTCAACGGACTCTGGTTCCATTCGGAAACCGGACTTGGAAGGAAGGTTTCACTGTGAAGCATCTGCGATGGACTTCCTAGAAGCCTGGTTAATTCTCTTTCCTCCACGCAGTTGCTCCCCGAAATCCAGCCATCCTCCCCCCCCCCCTCTTCTCAGGAATGTGAAATAGATTTCTAATCAATTCCATTTTGGTCAAAAGAACATTTTGAAGCGAAGAGGGACAGGAAGGGAGGTTCTGCAAAATGTCGGAATTTCACTCTGTAGATGCTCAGAGGCAGGGCAAGGACTTCCCAAACTTTACCGCCTTCCTGCTGGAGCAGCGCCCCGTGGTGTGTAATGTAAAACAACTGTAACGACTGAAGTTACAATAGGGTGCATTGATTTCTCTTCAAAAAGAAACCCCACTTTTAAAAGAGGAAAAAAGAGTATATTTGGAATCAGTGTCTGGATCTAAAAAGTGAAAGTCACAATAAGAAATGGCTACTTTCTAGGGACTTGTTATGGGGGGGGGGGGGGCTGCCTAGATTCCAGGAGCGGTAGAACCAAAGCCCCTTCGAAGATTTCGCTTAAGGAGAGGAGAACGTCCTACAACCCCGGAGTGGGGCCAGCAGAAATCTCCAAAGGGGCTCTTGCTCTCCAACGTGACCCAGAGAGCGCACGCAGGCTAAGGAACGCGAGCGGGCCTGACCCTCCAGCAGGACATCAGAGCCGGAGGGCACCAACCATACCCACGAGGCGGGCCTTGAATCGGTCGGGACTGACTCGGAAATCCGCCGGGCAGTCCCTGGGATCTTACTTGGAGGCTGGCTTTAGTCGAAGCAGCCAGAGCCCCTTTGCTGCTTGGGGAAAAAATGCCAGGCAGCCCCCGGGGGAGATTTACCCGGAAGTTCTCCTGAGCAAGCGTCGTTCCCTCGCAACGCTCTGGAGAAGTTCGAGGGGGGGGGGGATCGTGGCCATGCCGCGCAAGCGCAATGCTCGGGCAGGATGCGCCCATCAAAGGTGGCGGCCTGTAGCGCTGCGTCCCACGTCCTCGCAAACACCTGCCACCAGCCCAAACCAGCAGCTCCCCCCCCAGTAGATCTCTGCCCCGACAAGCAAAGATTTGTGAATTAACTCTGCCTTGCCCTTCCAGCCGCTTTTGATAAAGGAAAGGCCGAAGAGGCCCGTCTTCCTGGAACCGTCTAGGAGCCGGTTTACTATAGACCTGGGCTGCGGTCACACACACACACACACACACTAAATAATCCACTTTCAGAGCACTTTCCAACTGGATTTTGTCAGTTCACACAGTAAAATGCAGTTGGAAAGTGCACTGAAAGTGCATTATTTAGGGTGTGTGACTGCAGCCTCTTCAGATCTGGGAAGCTAAGCAGGGTGGATCCTGGTTAGTATTTAGATGGGAGACCTGCAAGTAATATTAGGGCCTTTGGCAAACCCCGTCTGAACGTCTCTTGCCTTGAAATCCCCACTGGGTCGCCATAAGTCAGCTGTGACTGTGACTTGATGGCAAAAAAGGAAAGAGCGAAAAAGAGGGCGAGCGGGAGAGACGCCAGAGGCTGCAGCTTGGGGTTTGGCAGGCGACATTCCCAGCCACCGGCGACCCTCGCCTTTCCCCCAGCGCCCCTTGGCAACCCTTCGGCGACCATCCACACGGCCTGGCAGCAGTTCGGAGAACAACTGGCGTCTCTGGGCACGTCCCCACCCACCCCGAGAGAGAGAGAGAGAGAGAGAGAGAGAGAGAGCGGGGTCGCTGGCATCCTGAGCTCCCCGGCTCTCTTAGCGTCTCGGCCGGGGACAAAGCCCCAACTGCGCGCAAGAAACATCCCCTTCAGATGTCGAAGGCGGAGGGATGCCTCGAGGAGACTCCGCGCAGGAGTTCGACGATGGCGTGACCGGGCTGCCCAAACGGAAGGGATCGCTGGAAAGCCTGGACGGCTGGAAAGCCCGGACGGCCTGTCAGGGAAGCGCTATCCGGAGTCGGATCCACAGGCCTCCTGCGGCAGTCCGCCCCTCACAAGCCCCACCGCCGGCCCTTTGCAGAGCGACCCCGCTGCCCCGTCGAGTCTCAGGGCGACGGTTGGCTCTGCTGCTCTCGGCGTGTCCCCCCCCTCCCCGGGCCAGGCCCTCCCGCCGCCGTCGCCAGCCCGCCCACTCGCGCCTGCGGAAAGCAGAGCCGGCCTCCCCCGACTACATCCCTCGCGGGGGGGGGGGGCGGGGGGGGCGCGCCTCCCTAAGGCGCTGGGAACCTCAGCCGTCCCCTCTCCCATCCATGCTTTGCTACTGCTCACTCTAAAGTAGCTCGAGTACAATTCCGGCTACCCTGCAGGCTGGGGAGACAGACTGCAGTTCCTTTCGCCCCGATTCTAAACGTCTTTATTCGGGCACAGATGCCAAAAAGACTGCCACAAGCAACCGCCTCGGGGCTGGGCTAACTCCCAAGTACATGTGGTTCGGATCCATCTTTCTCTTTTCATTTATATCCCGCTTTTCTCCTGGACAGGAGGCCCGAAGCGGATCCAGAGACCCGCTGGAGGAAACACGCCGTGCGCAGGTGCCGTCCCCAGGAGACTTCTCGAGCGACCCTCAACGGGGTTCAGTCCTTCTCACTCCATCAAAGTCAACAGGCGGAGAAGGGTGAGAGTCTGTTTGGGACTGCGCGGTTAGGCATGATGCGCGCGTCCCGGGGCCCAGGGCAGAAAAGCGTCCTGGCCAGTAGCTATTTCCCCGGTCCCTCTGGGGGTCCACCCCACCCACCCCTGATCCGGCATCCTTTGACCCGATCCCCCTGAAATGTCCCCAGCCTCTTACTCCAAAGAAGTCCCCGGTAGAGCTTGGATGGGGGTCCTCCGGCGAGATGGTCCCCGTCCTCCAGTTGGCGTCCTTGCTCCGGTTTGGGCTCCCACCGGTTCGTCCGCACCGTCTACTTGGCTGGAAAGCAAAGCCCCTTCGAGTCGCTCCGGAGTCTGCGGGGAAGAAGGGAGGGGACGGGGGAGGAGAAGGGGAGGAATCTTTTGGCTGAGCAGAATCCCGGGCAAACTGTGAGTGGGCTGCGGTCGGCGAGGGACCCTGCCCAGAGCTCCCCCCCTCGCTTGGCTGCCCATCCGCTGGGGGGGGGGGGGGGGGGGGGGGCGGCGGGGAGGAGCCAGCAGAGGCCGCGGCGAGGGGAGGTTGCGCAAGAAGCCCCCGCTGAGCTTCAACATATAAAAGAGCCGTCGGGGCTGCTCTGGCGCTGCAGGCAGGCAGGCGCGGCGCGATTGCGGCTCCGTCGAGGATTATGGACTTCCTGAGCGACAAGTTCGCCCTCAAGAGCCCCCCGGCGGCGGCGGGCAAAGGCGGAGAGTTCTACCTGCCCCCCGGGGGCCCCCTGGAGCACGTCATGGAAGCGCTGGACGGCGGCGGCGGCGAGGCCTTCTACGGCAAGGGCGGCAAGTGCGTGGCGCAGGCCGCCTACAACCCGCACGGCCGCCTCGACAGGGCGTCCCCGGGCAGGGACGGCGCCGGTGAGTGTCTGCCCTGGGCCGAGAGGGAGGGGATGGGGAGTCGCCGGGCAGGAATCGCCTCCGCCGCTGACTTGGAGCAGGGCGCTCTTGACCTCCCGCCCCCCAGCCCATGATGGGCCTCGATTCCGTGACCTTGGCCGTCCGGGCTGGTGGGGCCGGAGGGGGGGGGAAGGAGCCCGAGAATTGCCCCCCTCTCCCGATCCCGACCAGCCCGGGCCAGACCCGCCGTCCATTCTTCCCGATCGGGCTGCCGGCAAGAATTTCCGGGTTTTTTTTTATAGGGCCCTACAGATAGCCACCGCCGATACCGGACGGGAAAATGCTGCAGCCATTGTTGTTACTCGTAGTTAGACGCACCGAGGCCGCCTCGTACCACGATTCCAGGCGACGGACGAGCGTCACCCGAGCCTTTTCCTTGCAGGGGGCGCTGGAGGCCTGACGCGGGCCGGGCGCAATTAAGCGCCCCCCCCGTGCGGGGAGGTAGGGCAGGGGATGCTCCGCGGTGACTTTCGCCGCCGTGGCCCTGCTTCGGGCTGTTGGCCTTCCGCGCCGCTCTGGCCGGCCTTCTGGACTTTCTCGGGTGGTGGTGGGGGGAGGAGACTGGGAAGTTTCGAAATCTGCGGCTTACAGAGTGGTGCCTCTGGGATTCTCGGCTCTCGGGGCTCCAGATCCCCGCCGATCTGCTAGGAAAGACATTCCCAAATAACGACCGTTCCTTTTCCAGAAAGGATTTCCAGCCAGCGCCCGGGGAGCGAGAACGCGGAGGAGCCGCTTTTGTCTGGGGGGAGTGGTGGTTGTTTTTAAAGGCAGAGAAGGCCCCAGACCTTTGGCGACGCGATGCCCCCCCCCGCCGCCGCCCCTGCCGAGAGCCCGGGGTCTGTCTGGCCTCTGCTCTGCCTGTCCGCTGGCGCGGCGACCAGGGCGGACAAGCGGGACGCCCTCCTCAGTCTCGGCGACCCTTTCGTGCAATCGGAGCAGGGGAGGCAGCAGGGACTCCGATCAAGGGGTGCTGGTGCCAGCGGGTTTAAACTAGAGTAAGTGCGGGAGCCTGCCTGCTCGGGAGTAAGTCTCCCTCCGTGTGCCCCAGGATCTGTGCTCAGAGAGGGTTGCCTGCAGTCCTCGTCCCTCCTCTTCTTCCCTGGCGTCTCGATCCGTGCCCGCCTGGCCTGATGGTCTTCCTCCTCCGTACCCCCCCGACACATGAAGAGAGCGGGCTGCCGGAAGGTCTGCAGGCGGCGAATGTGTCCGGTTGAGTGCCGGATCAAGCGCGGCACCGAAGCGGCTGCGGAAAAGGCTGGCCTGGGCCGCTTCACCCGCCGACTCTGCTCGCTCGCGACCGGGCGATCTCTGGGGATCTACGACGCGGCGGAAGTCCGACGGTTTCGCGCAGGGCCTGGCAGCCTGTGGGTCCGTCCCGAGGTTAGGGGCCGCATCCTGCGGGGATCCAAAGCATGGCGGATTCGTGGATCGGCTTTTCCGCCACTGCCGAGAGACGTTCCGTCACCGATCCCGATCCACCAGCGCCAGGACTGGAAGGGGACGTCAGGCTCTGGGTCGCCGCTCCCTCCAGCCGCCCGCTTCTCGGCTGTCTCGCCTGACTGTAGAAATTTGGGGAGGTCGTATTTCGCCCGCCGCCCATCCTACCCTTTTGCTTAATTTTATTCTCGCCGGAAGTGCTGGCGAAGTTCGCAGCAACATCTGGCAGAGAAACCCTCTGAGCCCGGCAGTAAATAATGTCTCCGAAAACGTGGAATCATAAACCGACTGTTAATCTGTAATGGCTTTTAAAAAACCCTCCCGAGAGTTTTAGCTGCTTCCCATTCCCTTTCCTCTCCAGTCCTCTGAGAATTATACCGGTCGGGTTCTATGTTGTCTCAATTACAAATCTATTAGCCTTGCAGTTGCTGTGGTCGGTCATGTCCCCTTTCCTAGACGCAATTACACATCCTAACTTGCAGAAACCTATCTTGCAAGAAAAATCTCATTCCGTGGAACATCATCCTTCTTTCCAAAGCAAATAGACGGGACAATGTAGAATACAACTCCGAGAGAAACTCAAATCCGATCCCCGAATATACAACACGAAAATCTATTTTTCCTATCCTTTTAAATCTGAGAAACAGTAGGGGTTCCCTCTCATCTAAACATGCAAACTTGCAGTGTCCTTTAAAGCCAACAGACCAATGAAATACGAAAACTTTATTACACCGTCGTTTAGTTTAACGAGGTTGAAGATCTTTCCGATTATGGCGCTGAAGCGTGCAGATAAAAAAAAGGAAATGAAACTAAGCCGATGAATGTAGTGAAATAATCTTGCCCCGAACCTGCTCATAGTTGTTTTTTAAGACTATTTCTCGTTTGCAACTTTTTTTGCGCCACAAATCTCAGAACCCTGTGATTTCCACTCCCCCCTTGCCCTCTGGACTCCTTTACCTACCTTTACTTTGGATTATGGTAAACGATAACATCTAAAAATTATCAGAAATTTTAGTTCAGTTCTATTTTAGTTCAGTTTTGCAGACCATGAAGTGAGAAATAAAAATAATTATGCTTCTCTGTATTCCATGCATATATACCCTTATTTTAGATTCTTGGAATGCTTTTCAGGGCATTTGCTGTCAAGACTGAACAACAACAACAACAACAAATTCTTCACTGTTTCAGTGCATTATAATTTTAATATAGTCGTTTTTCATAGACCCATTTTGGTTTAGCAGTAAAATCACTGAATTTCAAAAATTCTCCAAGAATGTTTTCAGTGGAAGTGAAGAAATCTAGTCAGACGTAGAAAAATGAAGCTATTTGTGATTGGTGTTAACAACATAAAGCAATGGTGATAGTTTATTCTCATTTGTATAGGCATGGTTCCTGTTCAGTGCAGGACAATGTCAGTGCTGCTGAAGTTCAATTTTTTAAAGCTGAAAATGCTGAACGGGAATACTGTTGGTGTGATTCTCAGTTGTGTATGGTGCTTTCTTGCTTTGCCTACTAGCAAGAAAACCAGCTCAGCAATCACTGATACGTTGCACAATCCTAAGCACATTTATTCAGAAGAAATTAATTCCCAGTGTCTTCACTAGGACTGATTTCCTAAGGGTGGATCTTTACAGTCTAAATCTAAACATACTTACTCAGCAGACTCAGGTCAATGGGACTAGATTCCTAGGAAATGTGCTTGCCTGACTTTTAGCACCAGTGATTTCAAAGGAGCTTGATTTGAAGTAAGTGAGTGCTTCTCTGGATTTCAGCCTGTGTCTGGTTAAAATTATACCAAATGAACATGGCGACATAATGAAATTACCAAGAGTGACAGAGACCCTTTCAAACAAGCTCGAAAGGGCAAGTTAGGTGCCATCCTTTGTAAAGTTTTACTACCCTGGATGGCTGAAATTCCTCCCTAACTCCCCCACCTGTCAAACAAAGGGGGGAAAAGGTGAAGCTCTTTCCAATCTTGTAACATGCTGCATTGGTTATCCCCATAATGTGACATGTTGGGGGGGGTAGTAAAGTGTTTTATTCCTTGTTCAGAAGCTAAAGGCAAAGACTTTAATCTGCATCTTAGACACTGTGTTTTCTTGCAGATAAATGGACCTTGCACAACCAGTGTAACATAAAGGAAATAATCTGTTTCACTGACAGGTTTTTTTTTTTAAAAAAAAATCATACAGTTTGAAATAATAACTGTCCTAATTGGAAACAAAGGCAGTTTGCAAAAGCATGGACATTCTTTTGAATTTATTTTTAAGCAGTTATTATTGATTTGCAAGTGTTTTCCATTTCAACATCTCTTTCTTATCCATTTTGTCTGCAAATCATTGTAATTGTTAGAAAAGGTGCAAAGCAAAACACAGTAATTTGGGGCACAATCCAGATCCAAGACCCATTTGTTTCAGTGGCATGTGTGCAAGTCAATCTTACTTGTACATTACTAAAAAGTGACTCCCGTTATGCCCAGTACAGCTCACAGGCATGTAAGTGTAATTAGGCTCACAGCCAAAGTGCTGAAGTTGGGCAGAATTGTGCCCAGGACGGTACATATTTTATTCCCAAGATTCTATTTAAAATATTGATTAAAGGACATCCCATAATCCTCCTCTTTTGAGCTGGTGGTCCATATTGTCTATTCTTTGCTTTATTTACATTTACAAAAGACTGGAGCATACTGTGCAAATAAATTCCATTGAAATCTCTGCAGTCTTCCTTCCACGGAAATGCAGTGTTCTGTACCAAGAAGAATGTACATTTCTTAAAAGCCCTCCACACTCCTAAGCAAGATATGGTCCTTCCAGATGTGTATGGCTTCTCATTGGTGGCAGGTGTTTATTTTTTTTTAAAAAAAGTATCCCCATCTTAGAAACAAACAACCCAAATCTATCTTCCTCTTTTGTACAGTAAACTATGGGATTACGAAAGTGGAAGGTCAGCCACTGCACAGCGAGCTGGGAAGGCCTTTGGAAAACTGCAGCAGCCTCCGGATGTCTCCGGTGAAAGGGATGCAGGAGAAAGGCGAGCTGGATGAACTCGGAGATAAGGGCGACAGCAATGTCTCCAGCAGTAAGAAGAGGAGGCACCGGACCACTTTTACCAGTTTACAGCTGGAAGAATTGGAGAAAGTGTTCCAGAAAACACATTACCCCGATGTTTATGTAAGGGAGCAGCTGGCTCTGAGAACAGAACTCACGGAGGCCAGAGTTCAGGTAGGAGTCCCTCTTCCATCCAAGACAAGCTCCTAGTTCTGGAGGCTCGAAGCTTCTTAGGTTCTGCAAAAGCACTTATGAACTATCCCTCAGACAAAGTTATGTTTACTATTAAAGCTTGGCTCTGGCTTCACTGCACAACTGTTTTGGGTAGCTGTGCTGTTTGGTCATTAGAGAGTGTCAGGAATAAATAATACTTCCCATTTCTACCAAGCATTTTGTTGGGTTATAGTGAGATATTGAAAAAAATGGTATTTAGCAGAGATAATATAGCTCAGCAGAGCCTGAGTAAAATAATTCAGACTGAGAGTCCATGTGTGATTAAAATATAAAGTTTTTACTAAATTCTAGCATGGGAAGGGTAACTGGGATGAAAATGACAAAAGAGTATAATTGGCTACATCCTTACACTACAAAGACAAAACTAGAAGAGAGAAAGCCTGCTCTCCTTCTCCTTCTACTTCAGAACACCAAAAACAAAGATGGGAAGAGAAGCCATAAAATGGTAATATACCTTGACACTTTAGTCCCAATCAAATCCCTAGATCAGGGAGAAAATTCCCGGGCATCCTACATCTAAAGAACATTGGTTACATGAGAAACATGTGACTTCCTGTGAGTAACATAAACAAACATTTAACCCCAGATATACTGAGTGTTTTCAGCTTGTAATACCCAACACATTTCATGTGCTTCACAGCCTTTATCCAGCCATTCTTACAACAGGGTGATCTTTCATCATCCCCCATACTGAAATACAGGGGAGAGTGACTGGCCTAAGGACATTCTTGGGCTACGGACACGGGATGCAGAGCTTATTGACCATGCAATACCCAAGGTGAAGCATGAATTAAAGCTCAAGCTTCTGAACCTTACGTGTGGCCCTCACAGTGCCTTAAGGCTCTGTTGCACCTCTTGTATTTTTAGGCAATTGTTATTCGGGAGGTACAGAAGGGGAAAGGAAGCCATTTTGAAAAGAAATATAAAGCCAAGCTAGTGTAGGAAAGCAGCACTAGGCAGCAGTTTCTAGGGGATTTTTTGTGCTGATGCTCAAGAGCTTCCCATAATATGGGCTTGAACATTTGGGATGTTTCCAGGATCCTTCCAGGGAACTGGAATTCTATCTCCATGCAGCATTTGTTTTACCGGGTGTGGGTTAAGTGTATCAATAAAAGCAAGAAATTTCAAATAGGCTGCGCGTCCCTTCCCCCTTTTATCAGTGAATAAATATTTGAGCTACATATATGGAGTCTGGTGCATTAACCTTCTGATGAAAGAGATCATACAGAGGATTTGGTTTGTTACTGATCCTGATTAGCTGCTCAGCACTTCGCTTACATGTGTGTAGACTGAATGAGCTATGGGGTGGGGGTGGGAAACGGCATCATAGCCTCTTCTAGCCTAGCAATTCTAATTAACATTAGCCGTAATGTGTGAACGGATTTTCCTTGAATACAAAATGTAGACATGCATGTTCTGTCCATCAGAATCACATGTACAGAGCTGATGTATGTACAGCTTCTACATTCAGATGCATTGTTCACATGTTTTGCTGACCATATGTAGTCTTACACATGTAATGTGTGTCCAGGGCCGATTGAACAAAGCCACACTTGCTGGCTGCATCAATATCCTTGATCTATTTGAGCAATCAAGGCTGCTTTACGCATTGACTTTTTCAGATGTATACCTAGGGCATTTAAACAAACAGGGACAGACATGTTTATAAGCATATGTGCTGTAAATATTAAGGAGCCAAGATCATCAATCTGTGGTTTACTCAGCACATGTTCAGAGACTAACACATTATGCAGTGTGTGAAAAGGTCCTGACAATGTAACTCCTAAGTGGAGTTGCATTCTTTTAAGCCTGTTGACGTCAATAGACTTAGAAGGGTGTAAATCTGTTTAGGATGGCACTACAAAGGAATTAAGGCTGGGCTCCTAAGCAGAATTTTTTTTAAAGTCAAGTGCCACTAAAATCAGTTGGTTGGTCCCCTAGAAATGCAGGGTTATGCCAGTGCTTTGTATGCACTGATAGCAATCTGAAGCACATCTGTTCAGAATCGTACTCAGGTGGTCTATTCAATGGGATTTACTCTAAGGAAGTGTTCTTAGGATTGCAGTGTAAAGGATCTGAGTAGGTGCTCAGTTAGACTTGAGTCCAGTGGCACCTTAGAGACCAACAAGATTTTCGGTGCCTGAGCTTTCGAGAGTCAAAGCTCCCTTCGTCAGCCATGAGTCTGATACTCAGTGCACTATTTAGTGCTATGGCAAGAAGTTAGGCACACACCTAAAACCCCTCCCCAATTCCTTGGGATCTCTCTCTCTCTCTCTCTCTCTCTCTCTCTCTCTTTTTTAAAAAAATCAGTTTTAATCCCCCGAACAAGAAAATAATGCTTGCACTAACTAATCAATGGGAAGTTTAGGAGATAGCCATCCATTCAGTGATGACATTTGAAACATATTTTCATGGGTGTACATCATGTTGAAATTATGGGATTTGCTTCTGCGCAAACATGTTGTGGACTGTGTGAGTGTAAGGCAGATTTGTGCTAAAATGCTGAAGGGGAAAATTTGGTCAGCATCCTATTTCTTCTGCATATGCCTCTGTAGTTTGGGAGAGAGGTGTTGTCCTTCTCTGCTTCCCTTTGCTCTAGGATATCTGGAACATGGCCTAATACTGAAACATATTGGTCAGAGAGATACCCAACAGATTTTTTTTGAGCAACTGTGCTATATTTGAAAACCTCCTTGGTTTCAAAAATAGTTCGCTAAGCAGTATTGGGTGGAATGCAGGGGTGAAGAATCTTTCAGGAGACAAAACCATGTTTTCATGGTTCTTTGGATACTGACCGTTGATATGTGGCTAGTGTCATTGAAATGAAGACAATAAAGGTGAAAGACTTTGCACACCAACAAATGTCATAGACGATGATGATAATGAATAGTTATTTGCATAGCAAATAAATTGCAATTAAATTTCCTTTCATATCAATAGATTTTGCATTCCAATAAAGCAATAGAAACATAAAGTATGTAGAATTTTTCTCCCTTGTGATATTTCCCCATTTTCATTATGGAAAATACCTGTTGTACCTAAAAGGTAAATGCGAAAAAAAGTGATACAGTTTTGTAATTTGAAATAGCGGGAATGAATGGAACCAGGAAGTCAGATACCAGGAGCTGAACTCAGCAGTTTACAGCTTGTTCAGGGGGTGACTTTTTACCAAAATTCCTTTCTGTTCTAGTCTGGATATAACAAATGGGCATCCAGTTAGCTATCCTGAGAAAGATATAAATTGCATTCCCCCAGATATGCCTTTAAAAGGGAGGTGGGTGGGGTGGAATTCCAAAATGTTTAGTAACACTTTAGGGAATGGATAATCTATGCTCTAGGACAAAGGGATATTTTTGGAGGTAAAAGTGTAAGTGATTTGAGATTAGCTCAGGCACAAAGTTCACCAAGTCTGAATATCATATTTCCAATGATTCTTTTACCTTTGCATGTTGAACGTGAGGTGACTGAGTTTTCCGACAGGTTAAAACCGCCTTAAGAAGCTTCCATCAAATCCAGGGCCCCAGACAACTGACAGGCAGGGTAGTCACGTTTTCCTTTTTCAATGGGTTCTCACAGGGAATTTGTATGTGCTACTGCACAGGCTAGGTAAGGGTGGCAGACTGAGACAGAACTAGTTTGTGTGAGGTATGATAAAGAGAGAGGGAATTTACAGTTTGTATATGTTACTTGCTCTCCTTGGAAGAAAATTGCTGGTTTTAACCCCCCCCCCCGAGAATGTTTATTTTATGCTTTGTGTACTCAGAGATTTCCATGCATATTGAACCAAATGCTCTGGATTTTTGCATTTCTGATCAGCCGACTGAGAAAAACCTGTGCATGAGACTGGCGATAGTTCTAGCTCTGAGTGGCAGCAGTATTCCATCACAATATTAAGCAGTTTTCAAAGGCCTTACATCATTAGAGACCGGCATCTGGCTACGCAGGGATAACAAGCAGCAGATTGTTGCCTCGTTTTGTACAGGCCATGGTTACTTTATCTTTGCCAAGAGTCAGTTCTGAGTAAATCGATGTAAACAGAAACATTTTGGGGGAGTGTCAGCATTAAAAAATGTGGGTTTCTTCCCCGTCAGATCCTCTAAATTCAAGCAAATTGTTTTATTTAGTTTAGTGAAATGATTGGCTGGTTACGCTCTATACGTCTCCCTTCCCCAGCATTTCATCAAGATCCAATTTATGTTTTGTCCTGCATACATGCCGAGAGAGTCAGCCTGAACCTAATTTATTGAAGTTGTTCTCTTTCCTGCCGCATGTCAGTGGAGTAATTGGCACCCAGCTTAAGGAGATTGTCAAGGACTTTCTTTTCTTCAGTGAAAGAGCCTCATTACTAAATTCCCATAACATGTTCTCTGTGCCTCCTGTGGAGACAGCAGGGGGAGAAATGGTTCCTTGTAGCCTTCGGCACAAAAGATAATACAAATTTACCAATGAGGGGTGCAATCCTGCAATGAGTTATGCATCGGACAAGTTTCATTGACTTCAGTAGAATGAACGCATGAATAGCTAAGGGCCGGATTGCAGCCAAAGTTCTTAGACTACGCTCAACAGGACCGAGTCAGGGCTATGCTTTGATTGTTTGGGGCATTTTTCAAAACCGCCATATTAAATTTGCAACGGGTCCATGGAAATTAAAACTTATCCCTGCTGCTTTAGGCAATATTGGGGGTGTTTCTGACTCCTAAAGGACTAAAGCAATAACCTCCGCAAATGATTAGCACTCAAATCAGTTTCAGAAACATGCTAATTTATGTCCCTGCACTGATATTAGCCTTGAATAGCTGTAAGGGCTTTAGCTATTTCCTTGTTGCCAGTCTTTAACTGCAACCTGGGGAGAGCAACGTTATTTTCTTGTGCCGGGTTTAATGCAACGCCAGTCGATTGTAAAGCCTGTTGCACCGAGTGAAGCAAATCCACTGCCATCAGATATCATTAGCAAAACTTTTGATGTAATGATTCATTTAATTCTTGGGTGCGAGGGGGGGAGGGGACTGGTTTGGACAGCCAGTGGGAATAATGCAACCCAGGGTGTTGTAGGGGGTTAGAGTGTCAGATTAGGATCTGGGAGACTAAGGTTCGAATCCCCACTTCTGCCAGGGAAGCTTGTTGGGCGCCCTTAGGCAAGTGACACCCTCTCAGCCTGACCTTCCTCACCGGGTTGTTATAAGGATAAAGTGGAGGACGGAAGAATGATGGCGGCTGCTTTGGGTTCTCTTAGGAAGAAAGGCAGAGTATAAGTGAAGTAAATAAATAATGTGTAACTCACATGAATTTCATTTTAAAAGGGATATATGAAAATGTGCAACTCTTGGGAAGATTGAGCTTCAGGCCCTAATCACATTTGTTCCAGTGGAACGATGTGCCGTGGCTGCAGGGGCTCAGTTGTGCAAGGAGCTCTCCTGCCCCTTCACATAGTATGCACACCTTGCTATGTGTAGAGTTGCCATTCCATTGAAGTGAAAAGGGCAGCCCACATACACAGAAGCTTCAAAAGTCGTGACGGAGTCATAGATTGTAGTAATGAGAGGGACAAGATCCTGTGGAATTCTATAGACTTACTTTGATATCAAGTTATTTAAAACTGAAGTAAATTGGTAAAATAACTCTGCAGATTAATCTTGAACTAATGGAAATTATTTCAAAGTACATTCTCTTATGCAAGGGGTTGAATCAGCTAGGCAGATCAGCTGGAGCACTGTGGTTTCCTTTCAGTGGGGCTAACATCAGAGTCCCACATAAGACCCATAGAAATAACTAGAGGGTGAACAGTTACAGCTCATGGTCAGAAGCAATACTTCCTCTACGCTGTGGAGTCTTGTGAGCAAAAATTCTCCTTTGTGAGCTACTGGCATTTAAGTTGTGAGCAATTGATTTGGCTACTGCATAAATTAGTTTGCTTTGGAGCCATCTTTCCTGAGCTAAGACAAAAATGTGTGCACTGGAGGCTAAAAAACTGTGAGCTAGCTCACACTAACTCAGCTTAGAGGGAACACTGGTCAGAAGCAATCAGGATTAATAGGAACAGTGATATTATTTCCAGAACACAAAGTAGATCAAGGATATTGTTGGCATTTTTGGATGACAGGTGTTACCAGGTGTTTCTGGTGTGGTCTTCTAGCAGTTCAGGGAATACATTCTTGTGCTGACCATGAGTAGTCCAGATGGCACCATCCATGCTGCTACACCCCAGATCTGTGGACTGATCTTTCTACTTTGTGTGACAAATGCATTTACCACAGGTATGTCAGATTTTAATGTGGAGAGCACTACAACATATGAAACGAAGGCATACGCCTGAAAACATAAAGTACATGTACATCTGGAAGCCATGGCCAATTGAACTGCTGATACTCCATGAAGTGTTAATTGACATTTAGATGACAACATAATTAGGTGGGATCTAAAGTGCTTTTTATAGGGCTAGTTTGCCATAAATACATACAGGCAATCAGCACATGTAAGATCCTATGAGAAAGTATCCAGATAACCATTTTGAAGTGGCTACTTATGCAGTGAAACAACTACAGGTGATTTTTTTAAAATAAAAAGATTATAATCATTGTATTATTGCAATGCATTTCAAACACATGGTAGGGTACAGTTAAGGATTCACCGCATTCTGTCTAAACATATGAATACCTGTTGGGTTAGATGGCCAGTGAGTCGTGATCTCACATCTGTTTGTAAATGCCAAAGTTTTTAGATAGCTGACTTCCATCCCTGAATGCCTTCACCACATCAGTCACAATCTCACAGCAGTCCTCTGAATGCATCCAGTTGATTTCATAGCACGTTGCCTCCAAAGACAATAATGATGGAGTGTTTTTACTTTAAAATATAAGCAGGTACCCTAAGTTAGATCAGTGCTCTATCTGGCTCAGAACTGTGATTGGAAGTAAATTTCAAGATCTGCTGAAGAGTTTCCCAACTCTGCTGATTGAGATCCTATAAGTGACTGTGCCAGGCATTGTCAAAGCCAGAACTTGTCAAAATCCAGTAGCTGCTGGTACTCATGACAAACCCCAAGACTTAGTTAAACCCGGCATCCTCACTGCTCTCACACCAAGGAGACTAACAGGAATGCTGGACTAAAATAGTGCCAAAATGAGTTGAAGTAATAGGATCACTGCAGCTGTCTTTCTTGAAGCAGAGCCTTAAAATCTGTTGAGTTTAGCAAGTTAAAACACTTCAGCAATTATAGAGTTAACTTTGTTTGTGTTGGTCAACAGGAAGTCACATGTTTATTTGTGCCCACTCTTTTTACTTAGTAGAAAAGCCGGGAATTTTGTAGGAGGTCTTGTTATAATGACCTGAACTTTAGCCCTGTGATTGGGAATCAATGTATTGGCTATTTAGTATATTGAGGTCCCTTTTCCTGCCTTTGTCTTGGAGAAGAAGGAGACGCCATTCCTGTTTCTCTTCCTGTTCCTGTAACATCTTCCTAGCAGTAAGGATGTAGGGATCTAGTCCTTTGTTATTTTGCATCCCGTTTACCTTTCCCCCATGTTAGTTTTCTAGTAAACTTTTATATTTTACAAACATACACATGGACTCAGTCTTTCAATCTTTGCTAATTTTTATCTCTGCTTAACTATATTTTTTTTACCAAGAATACCCTACAAAATCTTCATTCCAGTGACTGTACCTAGAACTTTACACATGAAAAGTGTGCGGTTCCTCCATGACCCTTTCCCCATTTGTGCTCTGATAAAGAGTGCTCAGACTCTAAACATCTTCACTTTTTGAACACACTCAAGTGCTGACAATAGAACTTGTTTCAAAACAAGAGTTTTAGCCTTGGAATGTGATTCTGAAGTCAGAATGTTGAATTAGGATCTGAGAGACTCAGATTTGAATCCCAAATTTACCATGGAAGCTCACGGGATGCCCTTAGGCCAATCATACTCTTTCAGCCTGACCTACCTCACAGGGTTGTTGTCCTGAGGATAAAATGGTGGAAGGGAGAATGACACTGTAAGCCAGGTTGACTTTCAATTGTGGAGAAAAGGAAGGTGTAAATATCAAAATAAATAAATTACTTCAAAAGGACAGAAAACATTCCCTATGTCACAATTGTTGTGGGGAGCACCAGTGCTACACTGACGGTTTCCCCAGCAAACGTGGCAAGTATTGAAACAAAATATGCCTGTTGCCATACATTTAAGCACTCATGTATATGGGTCTTTTTGTTAATCTAGCAAGCCTTTAATCCCCCTTCATTCTTGGTATTTAAATGACCACAATTAGGTGTGTGTTCCAAGAACAAACTTCTTTGCTGTGTCTGTAATACAGCTGTTCTCATTCAGCTCATTCGTCTCCACCTACAAAATATGGTTTAGTACACCGTTCTTCTACGGGTAATGAAGTAATTAGTGCAAATCACAAAATGTATAAGGAAGTCATTGGGTTTGCTGCAAGATCTACAAGAAGTTGCTACTAAATACACTCTGGCTGTGAGATCTCTGAGAAATAGCTATTAAATTCATTGCTTTCAAATTTAAGAAGTCGGTACAGTTATATCCCAAACAAATTTATCAGATTCTGAGATGTTACTAACCATTTAGATCAGTGCAATGTATATAAGGTTTAGATTGGCAGATCACCAAGAGAGCGGCTTCCGGTCAGCTTGACTGTGACCTCGATCATTGTATGGTGGTAATCTACATTGATTTTGGCTAGATGTACCTCCCCATATCTGGAAGTGGGGTGAAAGGGACTGAGGTTATTCCTTTACAAAGTTTAGATTTAAAAATCAATGAAAATAGTACAGTTCTCTTGTCTGCCTTTCTTTTGATGGATTAACCACTATTGCTCTGGAAACTGGCCTGTGTGGCTGGAGCCATAACTTTGTACTCCCCACTTCCTGTGGTTCTTCTCTTTTTGCTGTGGTCCTTTTTATCCTCCTAAATTGGTCTGTCCTAACAACTTGTAAGCAACAAAGATGCCTAGGAGGTTGCTGCTTGGCTAGCTCCCTGAGTCAGTGCATGGAGCAACTGTCACATTTGTCCAGTAAATGGACAGTCATGAAGCCAGTCATGCCATTCTATCTTTTAGAGTCATAGTTGCCTCTTCTTGTTGACTTTAAAGATCATCAATCCCAAAGTCTCGGGGTCATTAATATTAGTTATAATGGTTTATAAATTAAATATTCTATAAAAGTTCTATTGTAGCAGTTCTAAAAGACAGTGAAAAGCTAGCTAAGTGATGGCTTCTCTCCAGCTCTCCAACTGGATCCAGCTGAAAAGGTCTCACATACAATGCAAGTGTTCAGATTTGGTGGGTTCCAGGAGGAATTTCATAGCTGTGGTTAAGCTGCTGAGAATTAATCTCAGCATGCTTTGGCTGTCCTCATCTGGCACACAGATGGTAATTTCAAGAAGGTACCCTTGGTCAGGGTCTTAGGGGGAAAAAAGAAAAGATTCTCCTGAATAATTGTCTTGTCTTCTCTGATGTAGGTCTGGTTCCAAAACCGAAGAGCAAAGTGGAGAAAGAGAGAGCGTTATGGGCAAATCCAACAAGCCAAAAGTCATTTTGCGGCAACCTATGACATATCTGTTCTACCAAGGACTGATAGCTACCCACAGGTATTTGACATAGTGAACTGGCATGTGTGCATCCGTGTGCTTTCACATGAGCAACTAAATACAGAGCTGAAGCCTGCTGTTCTTGCTAGTTGGAGCCACCACTTTTCAAGATGGGGTTCAAAGAAACGAGGGGGGAAAGTGGTAATGTCTTAATATTTGACAGAAAACATCTATAACCTTCCCATCAACCCCAAGTTTTAAAGTGTATTTTAGTCCCTAGCTAGGAATATTTATCTCCAGAAGCACCAAATAAAAAGAATGTCCTCTGCAGTACATAAATGTCTTGTAAGTTATCCTGACCCTCTTTAGATTGTGTGTCATGTTCATAGTCATAATAGAAAAAGGAGGAATCCCTTAGATTATTTTCGTTTTTTGAGTATGATTGTGGTCTTAAAAACACTTCTCTTAGAGAAATCTTGGGTGGCTACATTTGGGAAGACCTTGGAGCACTACTAATTCTGGAAGGCAGGCTGACTTCCTTTGTTGTTTATTTTAAACAGAAATTTCTTTCCTTTTAAAAAAAGAATCCATTTTTTTTAAAAAGGGGGAAAGCATCAGATCACAAAGGAAAAAGCCTGTTCTGGTGAATATTTTCCCCCCTGGATGGAATGCATGGTTGTTCTCGGTGGGTGTAACTTGGACTTCTCTCCCCTTGTTCCAAGTCTGGGAACCAGCTTTTCATCCATCCAATGTGTCTCTCCTACTGAAATGAATTAGGACAGCCCTACAGGCAAGGCAGCTCCCTATGTGCCCCCGAACCCCTCCAGATCTAAACAGTTGCGGCATCAGGATGATTTTCCCCCTAGCTTATCCATTTATTTAATTACAATATATATTTTATTTATATCCAACATTTTTAGATGTTCAACCTTGTGAAAGGTTGGAAGCCAACCAGAAGGAAATTGTATTGCACTTTTGTTCAAACTACTGTACACTTTTTCAATTCAGTGCATTTGTTAACTATTAGAAGAAATCTAACCTTGTATAGCATGATAAGAAACTACTTTGGGGGCTCTTTTTTTGACATTCTACACCCTGCTTGGATAAGAATTCTATAAAAGCAGTCACTGCAGCCAACCATATGGTTTCTTTTTATTCCTTTCTGCGCCCAAGCGTTAATTGTATAATTTTATTTTCCCCCAAACACATTTTGATTTTTTTTTGCCATCCATAAATGCCAGAAAGAACTGTAATCAGAGCAACTACAATGTTTACAAAGATAAATAATTAGCTATTGGAATAGGGTGTGAAGAAAGTGTATAAAAAGATAGTTACCGGATGTGAGGGGGAGAGATGCTTCTAGCTGTTTCCCAAAGTTATAAAAAAACAAATTCTGAGTAAAATGTCAAACATTTTTTTTTAGTCTGGAAGATATTTTTAATTTAGAGATCCTCCCCCCTGTGGGATTTAGGTTCTATTCACATTTAAAAATAACCAAAAGTTTGCTGTCTACATGCTTGCTGAACACAGAGCCTCTTAGTGCCAATTTTGCACCATCATAAAATGATCACGGTTACTAATGCTGCAATGTTCCACCTCCTTCTCTGGAGCAGGAAACAAATAAAACATATTTCTAAGTCAAAGTGTTTAGGACTGAGATTACAAAACACTGTGTAATGGTTGTCAAGCAGCAAACATTGTTGAGATAATAAACTCCCTGCTGCACTTCACACTGGCGATCTGTAAATGGATCTTCCCAGTATATTTGTTGATCTTAGCAAGCAACCAGAGAAGGATCTGACTTGAATCAGGGTCCTGGGAAAGGAAAGTTATATCCCCCCATGCCATTTTTTTCTGGTTACAACCATCTCCACAGCTACAATGAGCCCCAGTAGGCAATGAAGACAGGCACTTGGCCTTTGCCTGTCTTCTTTCTCCTCTGAAGGCACATTAAATCACTGGGTGGGGTGGTTTTGACTGGGAAAATGGCATAAGGAGAAGTGCTTAAGTTCTCCTTGCCCCACACTGTTTCTGCAATCTCAGTCAGCAGGACAATGGTGCTGATGTCGGTGGGAGGTTCAAAATTCATACCTTCCCATCTATATGGTGTGGTAACCACGGGGACAGTGAGTTTTCAGGAAAGATTGTAGCAAAGCAAGTTTGGGAAAGATCAGAGCAAAGCAGGGGAAATCCAGAAAAATAGGATTTGAGAATTATGTCCTGTGAATGCTCTGAAAAACACCATATTCTTGGAGCAAGCGCATAATGTCTGACTGCATGAGGGGACACACTCACACACACACACACACAGAGAGAGAGAGAGAGAGAGAGAGAGAGAGAGAGAGAGAGAGAGAGAGAGATGGTGACTGGCTTGTGGAATTTACTGCTATGGGATATAGTGAGGGCTACTAGTTTAGCTGGATTAAAAGGGAGATTAGATAAATTCATGGAGAAAGGTCCATTAATGTCACATTGATTGAGCAGAACCTCCATGGTCAAAGGTGGTAACCAGTGGATGGGTTGCCAACAGTCCTGGAGAAAAATGTCCTGTCCTTTTAATAGAGCAGAAAGGCTTTCGAGCAAGGGAACCTTTACCTTTACCTTTAACGTGCAGAAATTGGTGGCCAAAGCTTTTCATGGCATGGAGGTTAAAAATGCCCCATTAAGCCTCTATTCAAGGGACAAAGCATTTTTCTCCAGGACTGTTGCTACCCCCTGCCACTGGGAGGGATGCAGCAAAGGAAGAGTGGGTCCTGGTGGACAAGATGGATCATTGGTCTCATTCAGCATGGCTAAACATATGTTTTTAGGAAAACCAGTCTTAGTAGACACAAAGTAGATATTTGAAGAGACTTCAGCAGCAAGCAGGTTTTTTTTTTTCCAGGGCTACTCAATCATTCCCACAGAGTAACTGTGAAGAGTCTATTGAGTAGCTATTCTGCATTTATCAAGGGCTGAGTACTTACAGGCATCAAAACATGAACCCATATTACTTTGGGTTAACCATCTCCTAATTACTATGTAAAGTATATAATCTTTTAAAATCACAGTAACAGATACTGAGTAGGCCAGGAAATCAAAATCAAAACAAACAAAAAACAGAGTTGTAGTTGTTGTCTTGCAGTCAAATACAAGCCACCTCTGATATTGTGCTATGAGTGGATTATCTTGCATATACCTGTGTTTGTTTGGGAAGCACTGAATGTATCTTGGGACAGGGAAGCATTTTGGATATTTTGTCATCTAGATGCTAGATGAGTGGTTGGAATCAAAAGCTAGGAAGAAGAATCTAAGTTTGGAAGTCATGGGTTGGATGAGTGATGGTGGCATTGGAAGCTATTTAAGCCGATTGCTTAGGTTGCTTCCAAATAGGGACAAATCTACTCTCATTGCTGCTCCAAATGCAAAGGTGTTCACAGCAGAAATTGACATTTCCCCTCAAATATATACTTCAATACTTTCCCATTCACCCAGCAGTATTTTTGCCATTTTTAAAGAATGCAATGCAAGTCAGGATATTACTATTGTGTTTTAAAACTATAGCCATGTATCTACTACCAGTATTAAAAAACAAAACAAAAACTGTCAAAGTGCCCATCAGTGATGGTGGTAATGGGAATGGTGTCCAGGAGAAGTAATGGTGTCAGATGTGATGCTGAATATAGGTGAGGAAGTACAGAATCCCACACTTTCCCAAGTCTCCTTTGCGTACAATATTCCAAGAAAGATCAAACCAAAGTAGGTTTGAGAAAATCAGAATGGGGGGGGGGGGGGGGGGAGAAAGAAAGATGTCAGAAGCACAATACCATCATGCAGAAGGAAAAATCAAATCTACTGTGATGGAGGGGGGGGCAGAGTAAGAGCTCCACCTGGAAACAACCTGAGTGCTACATGTGACACCAAAAAAGTAAGTTGATTGCTACTGCTTATCATCCCAACTCAGTTTCCAAATGGTGATCTAATGGTGCAGTCCTCCCAAAAGCCCTGAAATGTGATACAAATAGGTAAAGAAGGCTATCCTCCAGGATCCACTCTAATACAAAAGAACTGCTTTGTTTCTTGGGGTAATCTGGGTCTTGAACATTTATTTATTTAGATTTTTTTAACCTACTGTTTTCCCTAATGGGGACCAGTTAGCTGAGTTAGTGTGAGCTAGCTCACAGTTTTTTAGCCTCTGGCTCACACATTTTTGTGTTCGCTCAGGAAGGACGGCTCCAGCACAAACTAATCGATGCAGCAGCCAAATTGCTCAGTCACAACTTTAATGCCAGCAGCTCACAAAGTAGAATTTTTGCTCACAAGACTCCACAGCTTAGAGGGAACCTTGATGGGGACCCAAAGTGGCTTATAACAGGGCTCTCTCCTCCTCGGCCAGAATCTCATGGAAGTCTGCTTTGTCATGAAAGCTTGCTGGGTGACTTTGGTCACCTATTGAGAGAGGAGAACCTTAGTGAGAGTAGTCACCTATCTTGGACAGCTTATAAATTAAAATCTTTTAAATAAATAAGCTTTCTTACATAAGAATTGTTTCCTCTTCCATTCATCCAGGGTCAAGCTGTGTTTTCATTTGAAATTTGGGAAGCCGACTTTACAAGATCTTAAAATCTACCGATTTGAGCCAGTACACAGCACACCTCTAGGGCAGTTGCTACATATGATTCTGCAATGAGAAAATACACGTGTGCTTTAAAAATATTTTCTCTCCTGAGAACTGTTCTTGTGCGTGAAAGCCTTAAAGAACACTTGGGTCTAAAGGGCATCAAATGTAGTGCACGTAACAAATTTCATAATGACTTATTTGTACTGAGAATATTTTTTATCCCAACCTTCTTTTAAGGGCCTCAGGACAGCATACATGCCCCCACCCCTCAGTTTATTATCAAACAGACCTGTGAGGTAGGTTAGGCTGAGAAAGAATGGCTGCCCCAAATACTTTTGTGCATATTTGAACCCAGGCTTGTTTTGAAGTAGTTTGACACTTCAGTCACACACATTAGCACACCCCAAGGGACCTTTGAATCAACAGCCAATGAATCATATCAGTTTACTCCTAAGAAGAG